ATTGAAATTGATTTTAAACTCTGATCAATACATGTAGGCCATTAGAGAAGCAGGATGCTAAAATGACTGCAGCTGGAAAATACTGAGGCAAAGCACTAGACTGTACTAAGTTAGACTTGGAAATAAAGACAGTTTAGGTAGTTGTTTTATCTCTGTTTCCCAGTACCCTCCCAGTGGAACGTATTAATTTTCCTGAATATCTGCATGGGATGTCTCTGCATTGCATTGCAGGGATTGCTCCTCCTACAGCAGGCACTATCAAGTGTAATCCCACTGTGCCTGGATCATGTAAAACTTTTCCAGATGGAGAACAGAGGAAAAGGAAGGATAAAAGTAATAGTCGTTCACATTAACTATAGCACTGCTACAAAACGAGGATTCCTGAATAACTCAGCTTTGACATAATCTCATCGAACCTAATGAAGGGCACAGAACAGGAGCATTTGTCTGAGCAGGTCTAAAAATCCTATGACATTACAGATGAGGTGCTGCATTTCATCTGTGAACAGTGTTTTCCGGCAGGGAGGGGCAGAGGGTGTGACATGCAGGGCTTGGAGGAGGAGTTAGATGTACAGCGATGGAGACAGAGAATATGGGGGCTAAATTTAGCCAATGGTTCGGCCGGGGTGGAGCTAATCCTCTTTGCAGTCGAATTATCTGGCCTTCGGATTAGAGAGCTTTGCTTCTATGCAAGACATCTACTCTCTAAAATGATGTCCCATTGCAGGATGTACCATGTTGAAAAGCAGGTGGAGTGAGGGGGGAAGTCTGGAAGAGGCGTGCATAAAATGGATAAAGGAAATACAAAGCATTTTATAGCAGTAGGTTGAAAGTTTAGATGACTTCTGCTCATTGTCATCCTTTAATTAATCATCATACCTGTATCAGCCTCCCTTAAATGTTGAAAATGCCTTCCAAATATTCATAACTACTGAGCTTAATCTCATTCTGTCACATAAAAGCTATTACTGTATGTATTGTATTGGGATTTTATGTGAGGGAATGCAAAGTAGCACAGTAACTATTAGGAGGGATAAAAATCATAAAAATTTTTTTATAATAATGAATTTGAAAAGCACTGATCTATAGTTACTTTTTCTCTGATACCTTTTTTAATCTGATGGAGAACACGTTGACAGGGAAGCTGTCAGATGTGCCCCACAGCATTTGTAGCTTAACGAAAAATTGTCTCAAGAAGAAGGATACAATTGTCAAAAGAAATCCTTAAAGTTGTAGGGAAGTCATGTTTAAATGTCAAATCATTCTGGCTTAAACATGTATATAAATGTACTCTTTATCAGTTTTTGTTAAGGATGGAATTGCTGGAATCTTCTTGGCCCGTCAGACAGCCGACCTTATTGTTCCAAAACAGCGACCATCACCACAGCTTGAGTAGTGTTTCAATTCTTCTGGAAAATCTCTTGTTGACTTTGTTGCTTTTCATTTGCTTTGTGGCGTTGCAAAGTCGTTCCAGGCTTTCCGCTAAGATTGGCATATTTGCTCGCTTTACGTATTTGTAACTCGCTGACATTGACATATGCATGGAAATTAAGCAACTGATGGTTTATGGCGTTGAAGTAGACTGAGGCTTTAAGAAGTTGCGCCTTCTAAATTCAAAGTTTTCCATTGTAGCATCACTACGGTTGAAAGTCCATTTAAGAAGATACTGAAGAAATTCTGGGCCTGACCAGAGTTTTCTCTGACTGCATGGAGTGTAGAATAATGGTGCAAATGCTCTTCACTTTTTCGTTGGTTACCAGTAAGATAATTTAGACCAATGGAAATGTTTCTGCCTTAAAAAAACCTACACAGATAAGAATGGTGTTGATTTATCGGTCTGCAGTCATCACCTTTATGAAGATACGGCTAATGAGAATTACATTATGCAAGCTACAAGTTGCATGTTTGTTAGAGGAAGCAGCTGGATGCAGGTTAACACAGCACCTGGGTCAGAAATGGTCAGTTTTTTATTTTAATTTAAAAGATTCAACAGGTTGCAAACAAGATTTTTTATAAATACAATTAAAAACAGGATTGTTTTAAAGTTGTAGGAAAGTCATTTTTAAATGTCAATTATTTCTGGCTTAAACATGTATATAAATGTACTCTTTATCAGACATTATTTTCCCAAAAGTTAGAACATTTCTATTTTTTTAAATTCTTAAAATCTTTGTTTTTTTTTTTTTGTTATCTCATGCAGGTCAGTTAGTTATACGTCAGCCTGAACACCTAAAATCGGTCAATCGTATATCAACGTCACCTCTCAATAAACTTTTCAGTCATAGCATTGTGATTCATATGTGGCAGCTTATATACGCAACGGCTGAAATAAGAAATAAGAATAATCTACTTTCCCATGGAGTTCCATCCCTGTGTTCACGGTGATGGACGTCTGTGTCTTCGGCAGGGGTAGAGCTAAGAGAACTGGCAGCGTTGCGAGGCAAGGGCTCAAACATGTACGGCTGTAAGCCTTCTACACCAAACCAAGCTTCTGCCGCCCTGGCGTCCTCTTCCACAACATCTTTGTACCTCTTTCCTCCTCTAAATAAAAAAATGGATGACGGAGGAGACTCATCCACAACCTCTGACACAAATCTCTCCTCCTCTTGCATGTTTCCGCTGTCCATAGCATTCCTTGACAGTGTCGTTTCTAAGTCACCAATTTAGTGCTACTTGGTCCCAATGGAATTTCCCATTGGGAACCTACTAGCACTAAGCTGCTTCCGACAAACCGGCCACAACCAAACTTGCTTGCAAACCTTTCGCCACAACAATCCCGCCCCCTTGATAAACGACCAATCACATTCACTCTATTCACTTGTGTAAAGTCGGGCACAACTTGGGAAATTTCTGAAATGCAACAGTTGGAACAGCCGCTTCCCTACAACTTTAATAAGTTAGATTTGTAGCAAAGCTGCTTTTTCCTTTTGTAGGACAAATCAGGCATACAGAAGGAAGTGCTCTGGTCAGTATACAACAAAATTGAATTTTTTGGAGGCCTGAGGCAAGAAACTCTGGAGAGAGGAAACACAGGTTAGTGACCACATAAATGTAACAGAGGAAGATTATGAACGGTTTACAAGTTCAGCCCATAGCTAGAGAATGAGGTAGGATCCAGCTGCCAACAAGATGCGGAGGGCGCTGCCCAGAGTGTCCCAGATGCTGCAGCCCTGGAGAACAAGCAGGAGTCTGAAGCCAGGTCAGGCAAACAGATCAGAACAGGAACAGGCAGGCTCAGAGGTCCAGGAGTCCAAAGACAGTTCAGTAAAAACTGTTCAGACAGGAACAGGCAGGCTGGTGATTGAGAGGCAGAACAGGTCAGGATCAGGAATTCAAAAACTCCAAGGTACTAAAAACACTCTTGCCACTGGCTAGAAAAAACAAGAATAATCTGGCCCAGATGACTGGAGGCAAGCACCTTAAATAGCGGCAGGAGCAGGTGGATCAGATGAGAAACCAGACAGAATTGGACAGTTGAATGAAATGAGTAATTAAGCCAGTCATCAGTGCTTGGATTAAGACACTGTGTGTAACTAGGGACTTTTAAATCACAAAATCAAAAAAATCACAATCTGGGGCCCCTCCTATTCAATATCTATATGCTCCCTTTAATGTAAATAATCAAGATGTCAATGATTTGTAGTTATAATGGCAAGAAAAAACATCTCTGCAGCACCTCCAAAGTTGCTATATACCTCTTGGATACTTCTTTTATTGGGTTTAGGTGCAAAGCTATGCTTCAGTAGGTCTAAATGTACTCTTTCTGTTTTTGTATGATGGATAGAACAGTGGATTATTTGATTTCTTGGCTTATTTCATAAACCTTACCCTGCCTTAAACCTCCATACAATGATCTTCTTTATGCGTTCATTGGTTCTCCTCATGCTATTTATTATTTATTGTTCTTTTACAAACCCTTGAGGCTCTTATGAAACATCTGGATTTGTTCTGAGATTAAATTGGTAACAGGTGGTCTCTATTTACAAATTATGTAATTTCTAAAGACAGATTGTTGCATAAAACTAAAAGGATTGGAATATAACTGGACGCAACACTTTTTAGAGAGTGAATTATTTGTTTTCCACTTCACATTCATGTACTAAGTTGTGTTACTTAACTTAACTTATCAAAATTGACATTAAAAACTTTTTAGGCTTTATTTTCCACCCCTGTTTCTGTATCATCTGCATGTAAAATCTCAACAATAATGAATAGTACAAGAAAGCTTTGACTATCACTTATACAAGGCGCCACTGAGACACATTTATATCACGTCAACTCCCCACGTCTTAGAAAAATCACCCCACTGCACCTTCTTTTTCTGAGTTAAGGAAGGAGGAATATTTCTTTCATTTTTTTACTGATTTGCTTATGTGGGGATGGATGAACAGTCGCCATTCTTATTCAAATTTTCACTCAAGGACACTTTGGCACACGGCCAGTCCACCTCTTCTGCTTATGGAAAAAAGGAACATCGGGCCCTGCAGGCGGCCATTAACCAAATGTGACATGGGCTGTGAAAACTATTCGGCGTACTGTTTAGATGTAATCTCAAATGTGGACACTCTCTTTCTATGCCGTGATTGCAAAACACTGGAGGCCCTTGTTCATGTTTCCATGACAACAAGCATCTGCACCGGTGAAGTGTCCTTGAGCCCCTAGAAGAAATTAAAAAGTAAAAAACCAGCAGAACTTCAATTTCTCTTATGGCAGCTACCGGTGACCTCTGACCCTCCTCGTGGAGGATCGCTTGCAGAGATCAGAAAAAAAGACAAGACCACCGTGCAGAAGGACCGTCAGCTGTCAGTGCAGCCTGTTGCTATTTAAACCTTCAGGACTGTACCACTGGGCTGCAGAGATACGGGGAAGTTAGTCCGGGGGAGTTTCCAGGGAGGGGGGTGAACCCTGCGTGGGAGGGATGGTGTGTTTGCTGTGTGTGAGTGAGTGGGGGGGTGGGGGGGTTGAGAGCTGGCATACTAATCCCTCAGGTTTGGCTGCAGCCCGGCCTCGGGATAAACTGTCATGAATGCTCTGGACGTTTAAAAATGCTACGTGGACGCGTACATTTTTTGAAACATTAATGTGTTCCTCATTCAGAAATTGTTTTTCAAGGGAAACTGCAAACTATGGTAAGATTATATTTGTAATTTTGCTCTTTTATATAGTTTTTTTGTATTGTCCCATAAGTTAGTGAAGAAGGGATAAAGCTGATGCAGAAACAGAAAGTACAGCTACATGATTTATGTTCTGATCGTCATCAACTAAAGGTCTTTTATTGGAAGCTTGCATCTCAAAGTATAAGTGGAGGACAAATTTAGTTAATTGAGGACTCTCCTTGTTGCAACGTCTTTGATAAAAAGGTCTCCAAGGCCTCCTGAGTGTTTTACAAACAAATAATCTGGTTACTACCAGAAAATCTCCTTTAACTATCCTCAGAAGGTGAAAAGAAGGAACTCTGTTCCTTTACTGTTGTAATTTTCTCATCAGATCCATCTGATGTATATAAATTAAGAGATCAGTGAATGGATCTGCAGCGGAAAAGATTTCTTTTCTTTTCATTTGCCTCTGGTTGCCAACTTTGGGTTTTATCTCAACTTCCTTCTCAGAGGGACCCTGAAGCGTTCACAGAGAAAAAACAAATACAATATAGTTCAAAAAGACAAACAGAGTTCAACCTGCAAGGGGGGGATATTAAAGCTTAAACAACTAAAAGACAGAACACACAAAAAAAGAAATATCTTCCAGAGTTGTTTATGCCCTAAAACTCCACATTTAGTCACATTTCATCCAGAAACCTCTTTGTATTTTATCAAGGTGTTATATCTACTACAGAACCTTGCTAAATAGTGAAGCAAAAATAAGATATAATATGTTGATTTTTATTATTTGTTTAACAAATAACAATCTGTTGTGTGTAATCCAGCCCTCTGAACAACCCCTCTTTTTAAGCATGTCTGAGTTAGCTTTTTTATATGCAAAACAGCCCACAGTCAGTCAGACTGGATCTGTGAACATTTTTACATTTGACCTCCGCTTCTGAATTGAGTTCAGTCTGTTCCAATTGGTTTTTATTAGTGCTGAAACAATTAATCGGATTAATCATGATTAATCCATTATTGAAATAATTATCAACTAATTTAGTAATAGATTAATCATTAACTGGAGTATAGAGACTCTAAAACGTATCTTTAGCTGAAAGAGCAACTAACTTAGAGCAGGAATTGTATCAAAATTGCAAAATTGCATTTAGAATTTAAGATAAAAATAATTTCTGTCTGTCAATCAGCTCTATCCAGAACTCCTCAAGTAGAAAAGTTTTAGTTTCACCTGCTTTCATTTTGTAAAAGGTCTTCTTTAAGGAACCTTTGGTTATTCGATTATAATACATTATTTAAAAAAATAATTGGCAGATCAAACGATTTTCAAAATAATTGTTAGTTGCAGCCCTAGTTTTAATCTAAACTACTCTATTGTAGCTCTGGCCATGTGCTAGAGGTCATTTTCCTGCTGAAGGTGAAATCCAAGTGTTCTAGAAGCTCTGATAGATTTTCTTTCAGGAAGTGATTGGGTCTGGTTCTGCATAAGGAAGGAGCACGATGGTTCCACCACCAGATCTCACTGCGGCTGTTTCACATGGATTTTTTTGTTTTAGTATTATTAGAACAAAAAAACCTTTGCCCAGATGTTATTTATTTGTAAATAAAACTTGTTATTGTCTTGTTGACATATTCTTCCACCTAAGCTGTGGATATTTGCAGCTCCTTTAGAGTTATCACACGTCTCTTGGCTGCTTCTCTGATCAATGCTGTCTTTGGCCTGCCTGTTAGGATTCAAATCTAAACATAAGGCTGCTGTTTCACAATGTTTAGATTGAATATGAGAATTTCAGCTGGATGAAGCGTGTGCGTACATGTCTGAGTATGTAATGTTTCCAAAGAGCAGCATAGCATGCCGTAAAACGAGAGTTCCTCCCAGTCTTCGCTTGCACAGACTCGAGCCGCTGATGAAGTGGAGACAGTAAAGTTCACCGCAGTCAAACTAACAGAAGATCAAAACACAAAAAGGTCACTTGTGAAATTGAAATTGCTTTCAGCAAATGAAGTTGCGACCTCTCTGCTTCCTGTTAAAGCTTGTACGCCATTGATTTTTATGATTTCAAAGGGACTTGCTGACTTTTCAGCACTCTCATCGGAAAGCAGGTCACGACCCATCCAAAATCTGAGCACGCATTAAAAACTATTTGACATCTGAATAAATATGCATGTATCTGTTTTGGGTGTGAATGCAAATACAGATCGATAGGACAGTGGTGGAGGGGGGTGGATTATGGGTGGGACTGAGGGTTATGTAAGTAACAGCTGCAGCATGATGATGAAAGCAACATCATCTCCCAGCTCCAGACCGAGCATCGATCCTCCTGTAATTCTCCGCTGAGTTGTTCATGTTTTATTCAGGAAAAAAAATGGATGTTGGTGATCATATTCTGCTGCTGCAGACATTTCTGCCCACAAAACTGGTCTATTCACATCAAAACACAGACTTCACATCCCCAAGGCCCCAGTCGACACTCTGTAATCCACTGTGGCTCTCAACAACGGATGATTTCAACAAAAATGTTCGGAAGGGAGGGGAAAATGAAAATAAAAGTAGAGTTTTAATCTGGATTAGATAACATTGTCATCAAATCTGAACACCAGACCAGCCTCGAATAGCATCAAACAAAACCAAGGTTTCTGTGTTAAATGTCACATGATGCAGGTGACACTTTTAGCGAGATAAAGCCTTAAAATGATCATATTCAAAAGGAAAGTCTGATTCTATTGAGCTATTCAAGCTTGTGAGGGGGCTGGAATGAGAAAGTTTGTTAAAAAAATATGAGTAGCAATAAGTCTACCAAGTCTACTGTAGGTCCTGTAAATAATTGATAGTGGATGAAGCAGCCTTACCAGTGCTTTAAAACTGTTTGAAAAGTTTTAAAAACAAGAAAGTTTATATCTCAGTCTTGGCTGTTTTGCTTTATATCTTCAGAGTTTAGTGTGTTTAAAAGGTTTACTGAATACTGTCAAGGTGATAGAGTTGAGTAGAGGTGGGAATACAGTACACACAGCCAGGCAGGTGGTTTGCAGGTAGAGAGTAAAATGTTTGATAGCAGGCGGGAGAACGCAGTTGAAGAGTGAACAAGTTACACAGGCTGGTGGCAGGTTTTAAAAATCCAGCGAGAGCAGAGCGAACAAAGGAAAGCAGGATAGGTAGTAGTTGCACACAGTCACAGGATTAGGCTCATACAGAAAGCGAGACAATCTGGCAGAGAATGACAGAGAGAGGCAGGTATTAATAGAAGGAGTTTCAGGTGAAACAAGTTATTGTTAATTGGGCAGCGGATTCTGAAACTGGTAAACCAATCAGCAGTGTGGAGCAGAGCAGGACGAGAATAAACAGCGAACTCCGCAGCTATATATATATATATATATATATATATATATATATATATA